TTGGTAACGGTACACTTGACCAGAGACAAGCCAGGGGAGTTGTCAGATTACTGACCGTGGTAGCCAAAGCCATTATGGAAAATGCTAGCTGCAATATTTGAGAACTGTGAGGATACTGAGCAGAGCAAGATGTCCACACTCAGCTTCTGAGCTGCCAAGTATTCTGAACAGCATTAATTCTGTGCACTGCTTTAGTATTACCCATCATTGTTCAGCACGGGTGCTCATAGCAATTACCCATTATAACTATTGCCAATAACAAACAATACCACGTATACATCATGTACTTATTATTATGTACTCAGTCAGGTCATGCCATCAACCTCGTCTCTTCAGGTTGGATCCAACCAGCTTGTTTTGTTCAGTCTCTCCAATTCCCCTTCATTATTACAGTCCCTATCCCACGTGGCTTTTGTCCAGGCAGATCCCATTATCCTCACCATGCCTCTTTGGTAGTCAAAAGGGAATTCCTCCTCTCTTTTCATTTTAATCAAGATCCCACTATTGTAGGAGATCGCTTCTTTACCTTCAGTGTCCTGTCATTTAGCTATCAAGTGTCTGTCCACCTGCAGAACTTCCGGGCAACATCGCGGCGACGCGGGTGTCTGGCCAGGATGCTTCTGACCAGCCCTGACCCTTTTCTCTTCCTTGAAGCCCCCTGAGTCCTAGTGACTGCCAGGGGCTTCGCCTGACTTCCTGGAGGGAGGTTGGGGTGCGGAAGCTGGATTGGACGACCCTTCAAATGGCGGTGAAGGGGACGAGACCGACCTGTTCCAAGGCAAAGAGTGAAGAAGGGAGCAGCATGGTTCGCCACGCTGTAACGTCCGTTTTAATCTTGTTTCGTTTTTAAGAAGCAACAAATACAAGAGAGCGAGTATGTATCTGTTTGTTCACTAATTGCTGAAGACCTTGATTTAAAGACCCCTTAAAGGCTATCTCCATCCCGAGAATGTACGAGCGGCTGTGAAAAGGAGTGGAGCAAAGGCTCGGAAAATGGTGACGGCAGGGGAGATTGACGATATTCCAGCAAAAGATACTATACTGGTAGAACTTGGCCAACTAACTCGGGATCAGTTTAAGGAATTTTTGATCAACCAGGTGAGGAAGGCTGCAGAGGAAGCATGCAGAAATATTTGGAAGAAATTTCAAAACGTTGATCTGAAATTAAAAATCAAGGAAAATAAGGAAGAGCCAATGCCCTACCTGCGAACTGCGGTGAGTTTGGAGATGGAGCGGGAAGACAAGCAAAAGAAGGAAATAACTGAATTAAACTTTACACCTTTGAAAAAGAAGAAAGATGTTTCCACGAAAGAAAAAGAAAGAAAGAACTGTATAAAACAATTTGAGAGTGCAGGCTACATAAAACGTAAGAAGCGAGCAGAACCACAGCGAGAAGTGAAGACATTAGCTAGGAAAAAAACAAGGTTTCTACCAAAGCAAATCAACAAAGATAACAAAATAATGTGGACAGGAATGTTAAACCAGAAGAGGCAGAAATACGAATGGAAATATTCGGAGTTCAGAGGTTTAAGACATTTAATTATGGTCACTGAGAAGAAATCTTTTCAGAAAACAGTGTTGCAATATGTATTATCCTATAGGTTAACTATCGCTATTTTTAAAAAAATATGTAATGCTCAATGGCTTAGGCTCTGGATATGGTTTGACAATTATGCTGTGTCTATGTACCTGGACAGCTCAAATATTGAGGGTTAATATCCTTTTGATACGTTAATTGCTTAAATATTTAGACGGTGTGAGTAGTAACTTGACTATTTTTTTTGGTTTAAAGTAAAATACATGGGTTATTTCTGGGCTATACTTAAGGGTCAGTGATACTGGAAATGTTAGGACGTATTCATGATTTTGTTTTGCTAGATAAATTTTTAGGGTATAAAGCCGCCCCCGTCCCCCCCAAAAAAATGGGTGAGTGCAAACTGTAAAATTAAGGTGTAGTAAACAAGGTATTTGTCTTATGAGTAATCCCTAAAAGGTACATAAAATGTTAAGGAGGAAAGGAATGAGAATGAAAATGGAGTGTTAGTTTGAAAATACAATATAGCATGTTTAAAACTTTGATTACTGGAATGGAAGGATATGATGAAGTTGTTTGGACTAATTATTTAGAAAGTATGAGTTTTTAGGCAAAGGTTTCTATTATTTCCATTTTCACCTTTTTACATTTCCCCCCCTTTTTTCTTTTGTCTTTCTGCACCTATATTGAACTGTTATGTATAGGAGATAAGGTTTCATATAGGCTTAGAAGAATATGGCGCAGGCGGAATCAATTTCTGAAGATGTTTATGCTGGATAAAGGTTGTGTGGGAGATGACTTAGGTAATATCAGTGAATGAAAAGATTTCTATGGAGTGTGATAAACAGGTACAATTCTATAGCCAGATTAGAACCGAGAAAATATTGTTGTTTGTCTGTTCATTGAAATGCTTTGTTGCAACAAGATATTTATTTTTTGTGTTTGTATGTCTGGTTGAAAAACAATAAAAAACTATAAATAAATTTTTAAAAAGTGTCTGTCCACCCGCTCATCCACAGTTGGATGTATATAAGATTTCTACTTTGCCCTTTCCCGAAGGCTCTGGTTGGATTACAATAACAAAACAACAATAGGATATAAAAATACATAATGTGTAAGATAATCAAATCAGACACTGGCCATTCATAAACAATAAAAAAAACATAAAGAAGCAAATAAGGTCCAGGAGGACCAACAGAACAAAATCAGGAGAAGGCCTCCCTGAACAAGACAGAATTGCAAGTCCTGTGGAAGCTCGTCTATGTATATATGTAGAGGGAGAGAACGATAAATCATAATAAAAAAAATAATTTGATAATAACAAATGGTGGTGATGGAAAGTGCTGTTAAGTCACAACGGACTTGGCAATCCCATAGGGTTTTCAAGGCAAGAGACACGGTTTGCTATTGCCTGCCTCCATGTCAGAACTTTGGTATTCTCTGGAAGTCTCCCATCCAAATACTAGTCAGGGCTGACTCTGCTTAGCTTTTCAAAGCCAGTTTGTTGTAGTGGTTAAGTGCGCAGACTCTAAGCTGGGAGAACCGGGTTTAATCCCCACTCCTCCACTTGCAGCTGCTGGATGACCTTGGGCAAGCCATAGTTCTGACAAGAGCTGTTCTTGAAAGAGCTCTCTCAGCCCCACCTACCTCACAGGGTGTCTGTTGTGGGAAGGGGAAGGGAAAGGAGTTTGTAAGCCATTCTGAGACTCCGAGTGAAGTGACTCCTATTCTTCCTCTTCTTCTAAAATCTGATGAGATCAAGCTAGCCTAGGCTATCCAGGTCAGGACAATAACAAATACACATCCAGAAAAAATTAAAATGAGACTGGTGCCTTTTAGAATCCCATTTGGAAGATATACATTTCTCACATACTTTCATTTTATTTTGAAAGCCTGCTTTGTGAGAATGTTGTTTACATCTCTGCAGTTTATATTCCCGTGTACAAAAACATGTAATGGGTTGAATCCCAAGTTTTCACAAGTGGAATGAGTTTGTGAAGATCGTTTTTACCAGCATCCCCAACCTGCTGCTATACATTTGACAGCCTTCCAAAATAGTATGCCTTGTGTCTCAGTGGGGGGAATGCAGCAAGAAGGGAAATGGAAGCAAACGTTTACCTGGCATACTTTTTCGCTAGGGTTGCCAACTCTTGGTTGGGGAATTCCTAGAATATTCGGGGGTGGAGCCTGGGGAGAGGCAGTGTTCCCTCTAAGCTGCGTTAGTGTGCACTAGCTCACAGTTTTTTAGCCTCCAGCACACACATTTTTGACCTAGCTCAGGAAGGATGGCCAAACTGCTCACTCACAACTTTAATGCCAGTAGCTCAGAAAGTAGAATTGTTGCTCACAAGACTCCACAGCTTAGAGGGAGCATTGGTGTATATTGCCATAGAGTGCACCCTCTGAAGCTGCCATTTTCTCTGAGGGAACTGATCTCTGTAGTTGAGATGAGGTGTAATTCCAGGAGTTCTCCAGGTCCCACCTGCAGGTTGGCAACCCTATTTTTGCACTGTTCCCAACCTCCTGCAGTAAATAAGGAGGCTCTCAGGGAGCCGCTGAGGGAAGGTAAAGATGGTAAAAATTGTTTCTGGAAACTCGCTGTGTTTGCAGAAATCTTGGTTCCAGCCAGGATTTTGTGTGCGCATGTCAGTGAGTGTATTACATATGGATTTTTTTTAACTTAATGTGTTTCTCTGCTATGAATCCATCATTTAAATTGTAAATAAGCTATCTAACTTCATGTAATGGTGAAACACGCTGTAAATACTCTTTTTTTTCAGAAAGCAGAGTCACATATCCCGTTTGGTGTTGAGTCATAAAACCCACAGACCCGTCATGTAATCAGATTTGGGTCATGATTTACATGAAGGGGGGAGACTATACAACCCTTTTCAGCCACCCACAGTTCATTTCAGGTCTGAGAACGCCCTCAAAAATCTGTTTCTAATTTTATGGAAAACCCTTTGAAATTTGGCACGGTATATAAAAAGTGCAGGGGGAAAAAATCTGCCTGAGAAATTTGGCCTCCGTCTGAGAAAGCTGACTTTGCTTTTGCAAACGGGTTTCGGAGGTCCAGTGTCCAACATCCAGAAGAGCGAGGGAGAGCTAGAAATCTTTTAGAACACAGCTGGAAGAATGAAGGTCTGTAAAAAAAACCCCAAACTAACTAAAATCTGATTTTCAGCTTTTTAGAAGGACGGCGTCTACTATGAGGAAATATCTGAGGCAGACACATTTTTTTTTGTAAGAAAAAGGAACGAGAGCATTCTTCTCATATTTTAGGGAGGACTTCTGCTTTTGGCATGCTTAGTTCAGATGGCTGCTGAAATCCTATTGTGTTGGGAGGAGGGGGAATAAGTTAACAACAAAAACCATAAAGCTTTGGGCTTTCAGGAAAGACACAAATTGTTACCATTTTCTGTCTTGCAGACCCGGATGAAAATCGTCCTTGGAGCCGCCTCATGCCTTTTGCTGGCTTTGCTTGTTATGTGCATTGTATTATTTCCTTCAGGAGGTAAGATGACACCGGAAAGACTCAAAACACTTAATCCTCTGCTGGCCTTCTTTTCCTTTGGATTTAACATGCCTAGAATTTGGAATGAGATTGATATCTGCCAGTGTGTATATATATTTTTAAGCTAATGGTTGGTGAAGGGAATTGGTGTTTCCTTTTTTCCAAGTGTTTTCCCCCTTGTTGTCGTTGCTAAGCATTTGATAAGGTGTAGGACCATTGGGGTGACATTATCCAGATGCCAGCACGTGTCAATGCGAGGAGTCCTTTCAGGTGAAAAGCGCCCCTGCGTTAACAGGTAATGTACTTTGACAAGGCTACAATCAGTGTTTTGAACAGCCACGTACGTGTTTGCGTTTGCGTTTGCTTTTGAACTGGTGACCTTCACGGTATGTTCTCAGGTACTGTCGGTTGTTGAGTTTTAAGTCCAAGGAAGATTCATCGTTATTAGGATTAGTATAGTTATCTTTATTTATTAATCCTGAGTACATGCAATAGGCAAGCAGTCGCTTCTTGCAAGACTTCCTTACGTGACATCTTCCTGTTCTGCACAAAACCAGTTTTGATCATTCAACGTATATTTATGGATTGGCTTGGCTCCACTTGGATCCATGAAAGGGATTTCCATCCACAGAGCATGATTTTTTCATCTCTCCCCCCCCCCGCAGCCCTAGATGCCTTCTGAAGTGCTGCTTCTAGTGGACAGGGGACCCCAGGATCAGTGTTTCAGGGGACCCCTTCAGTTGCTGGGGGGGGGGGGTTGTCACGTTCTGTAGACGGGAATCCGTTTTGTTTGAGAAAATGCTCCAATGGATTCAAGGCATACTCTTGAATTATGCTATTACTACCAAGGCTAAAACTGCAGTTGTAAACACAAGAATAGAGGAACAAGTTCTATTGATCATAGTGGGATCACTGCTGAGCAAACTTGCTTGGGATTTGTACAGACAACATTTAACAGGAATAGAGGCCTGTACAATTTAATACTGCATCTTTCCCCTTGTTGCTGTGTTAATTACTCTAACAAAAACTACAGCTACAGGCTTCCTGAATATTATTTAAAACATTCAGGCTTATTGTTGTTCATTGGTCCAGACACGTGCATACACAGGCAGTTCCTTTTTCAGGTGAATCTGATAAACAAGGGCCCCGGTCGTATGGGCCGGATATCGCGGGGGGGAGGCATGGCTGTTTGCCCCGCAGTGAAATAACACGTGACTGTGCGATCAGGTGTCCCCTCGCGGTCCCGTCAAGGTCCTGTGGTTAGGGGGGAGGTGCCGATCACACGGCGCGCCAAAGAAGTGGCACGGCAAACGGGGTTGTGTTTTGTTTTTTAACCTGAAGTACGCGCATGCCCCGTTGGGTGCTTGTGTGCATCCCTGTAGACTTCGGGGGGAAAAAACCTCATTATACCAGTAATCTTTACAACAATGTTGTAAGGTTGGCTAGTATTATTCCTCTTTCCAAGATGAAAGGCCTAAGACTGCAAAAATAAAGGCTTGACTAATGCAGTTAAATGAGTTAGTGATTTTCAGTTCTATGATTTCCTGACTCATCCATCTTTCAGTCTCTTCCTCACTACACAAGACTCTGCATCACTTCTCAACTGACTTTTTCCACATCATTCCAGCTCTCCTGACTGAGGATGCGAATATGCCATGGCTGATGTTTGTTAGTAGGAGAACAGAGGACAACACATTTTTGGGGTTGGATCCCAGACTAAATTTCCCACTCACACAAGGTACCTGTCAGTGGAACAGAACTTTCTGCCTCCCCCCTCCCCACTGTAGCCTACTGATCTCCACAAAATGCTGCTCCCCAGGGTCAGGGGACCCCCCGGAACAGCATGAGTGGTAAATTGAGGGACTCTAGCAGGAGGGGGAATTGATGAAAATTACCTCACCCCTCCCATAGTGCTGGGAACTTTGAAGACTGCGGTTGTAATGTATTGAAATGATTACATGAATCACCTCATAGGACTCCCATGTTAAGCTTCGAGCCAGACCAGGGCTCCTTTGAGCGAACTTCCTATTGGTCGCTTCGTAACAGCGACCAATCAGAACGATACCATTCCCTAGGAGGGAAAGACTCCCATTGGTCCTTAACTAAGCAATCTCATTGGTTGTTAATTGTAAATAGGCGTGGCTACATTAGCCCGGTTATGTTTAAAAGGAGCATAAGCTCCCACTGTTTTCTGTTCTGGTTTCTTACTGAGTTAGTGCTTGCTCGTTACTTCCAATAAAGCTGAATCACTTGCTGAATCACTGTACGAGTCCTTTGTTAGCGCGATCTAACAGCGGTTGGAGATTTCATTTTCATTGTTATGTAATAGGTAATCGAATAATCAAATCCATGTGTATAAGGACTTCATAGCTAGTAATCATGTGAGACATTGTGCCTTTCTGTCTACTAGTGGCAGGCATATTTCCAGGTCTCAAATGCTGTCCTGATTTTGTTAGTTAGCTGGGACTTATCTGGAAAAGGACCTCACCCAGAACTTCTTCAGTGCCATAGCTCAGCTTTGGATCTTGTGACTTAAGAAAGACGGCCCCAACTTAGCACAGGGCCTTTTCCTTCACAAGTGAGAAACAACTATCTTATAGGTTTGGAGATCAGAAGGAGAGGTTCTAAGCCTGAAGGAATAAAGTTAGAGTAATAGGAGTAGCTTTCTATGGTCCTCTTGTGAATGCTTTTATAAGACTAAGGTCCCTGCCACACGGCAGAATAAAAAACGGGTGAAGTGCGGCTAATCAGAGCCGCACCAAAATAGAGATGCCGCGGCGGGATCCCACGGATCCCCTGAGCCGCAGCGCCGTTGCTCCCCAGCACGATCAGATGCCGGGGAGGAAGCCAAGTTGGGAGGGGGAGGCTGCCGAACTGTGCATGTGTGAGCACGCGCAGTTCGGCCAGGAGCCGGGGATGCGCCGGCGGAAGGACGCGCCTTGATGCGGCCTTGCCAGAAGAACCACCTCGGTAGGTGGTTTATTTTTGCTGCGGCGTTTTGGGCGGAAGGGCCGGATCGGGGACGGGTGCGCAACGCTTCCCAGATGTTGCGGTGGGATCGCGCCCATTTGCTGCGCCCCCGATCCGCCCCTCTCCCGGCCCAAAACCTCTCGTGTGACCGGGGCCAAGGTGACCTTTTCTTCCAGCCTACAATGTTGGCCTGTTGTGAACATTCTGATGCTGACAACTTCCTTCAGCAGAGAAAATATCCATGAACGCTCAATGTTCAATGGGTAGGTACAGGGTTGCCAACCCCCAGGTGGTGGCTGGAGATCTCCCTGTATTACAACTGATCTCCAGGCAACAGAGATCAGTTCACCTGAAGAAAATGCTTGCTTTGGAAAGTGGCTTCTATGGCATTACACCCCACTGAAGTCGCTGCCCTCCCCAAGCCCCACCCTCCTCAGGCTCCACCCCCAAAATCTCCAGGTGTTTCCCAACCCAGAGCTGGCAACCCTAGGTAGGTGACAGAAGTTTCACTACAGCCAACCACTGCTTCACATAATCCCACATCATAGTGGTTCTCAAGCTTTTTGAAGCGGGACCCAGTGCTAAACATACTGCCTTTTTAGGATCCACTTGTAAAACCAGTGTTTTTCTCCCCAATATAAAACACAGCAATCACACATCAGTAAACACTGAGCAAGTGTATGTTCTAATTTTTTGTTGTTAATTTTTCTTAAAAAATGTGAATACTTTTAACACGTTACAGCTTTTGACTTTTTTTTAATGTTAAAGAAAAACATTTAAAATGTGGCTGATGTGGTCCTTACAACTACCACTAAGGTAAACTGGAATTTTTTAGGCTGCAGTCAGACATGCCTTTAAATCTGACTCAGCTGCGAATGCCTGACGGATCTAAAGGGCATGATCATACAGCAACATCAGGGAAAGGTCCTTCAGCTGTCAGCACCCCATGCTGTCCTGCCATGGAATTGGAGTTAAAAGACACAGGGGAAAGTCCAGTCCTAATGCTTGATGATGGGCGACGGATGGACTTTCCCCTGTCTGATCGCTCAAGCACGCTCTCATGCTGTCAGGATCATCTACTCTTTCCATCCCGACTCGGTGCTGTTTCCCCCCCCTCACTTGGCGGTATGAGCATAAACTCCATGGGGAGCCCTCAGTGCGGAGGTGCGATTCCTCATTTATGCGCATGGGAAATAAAAGTGAAAAAACCCCACTCACCCGAATGTGCCATCTGATCGGGCAGTGATGGGCTGAGCTCGCAGCTACAAAGGATGTGTGATTGCGCAACCCCCTCACTTGGCGGTATGAGCATAAACTCCATGGGGAGCCCTCAGTGCGGAGGTGCGATTCCTCGTTTATGCGCATGGGAAATAAAAGTGAAAAAACCCCACTCGCCCGAATGTGCCATCTGATCGGGCAGTGATGGGCTGAGCCCGCAGCTACAAAGGATGTGTGATCGCGCAATGCCGTGTCCATTTCCACCGGGAGAAATAGGCTCGCTTTCCCTCTGCGCCAAATGGCATGTCTGACCGCAGCCTTAGAGTAGTAACTTGAGGAATCTGTTTTATGAAGCAGCATTTTTTTTTAATTTAAAACACATTCTAGGCAAATCTCTAACAACACAGCCGTCAACAGAGCTACACCTTTCTAGGTTCACTGAAGTCAGTGGGCTTAGAATAATGTAACTCTACTTAGGACAGTTTCAGCTGTGTTGATCTGAGGCAGAACAGCTAGTAACGAGATAGTATTCGATGAAGGGAGCTTTGACTCTTGAAAGCTTATAACCCCAAAATCTTGTTACCCTGCTTAGAATTACACTGTAGATAAGTATAAAGGGAGTATTTAAAGTACGTATTTTTCCTGTGGCATTTATTGCATAATTTGGTTATTTGTCGTTATTTTATACAAATATAGAGGATTACTTTTCCTGGAACATGGCACATCAAGTAAATAAAGATGGCTTGGATCATGTGATGTCATTTCTTTCCTTCTTCACTGTGACCCCAGTGGAGGCTTTCTTCTACTGCAGC